GCCAACAGGAGAGGACTGGCAGGAGGAGGAAAGACAGGAGCAAATGGAGGACATGGAAGAGTGACAGAGAGCCCTGGTGCTCCTAACGAAGTTGTTCTGGGGGGAAAAAATGTTAGAAAATGTCTTCGTGCCTATGACATAGTGTGGATTAATAATCTGCCATCTGACTATCTGCCAAGGATGATTTAATGTTTTTATTTTTCTTACAAGAATTACATATGTGAGTGTATGCAAATACATACAGGCAAAACGTGTGTACACAAATATATGCCAGCGTGTGTGCACGTGTGCACGTGTGAGCTTGAGTGCATGTGTGCATTTTAAATAACAGAATCCAGGTATAAAGGGAATGTGATGTAACACTGATTAGCAGCATGGGGTCTCGTTCCTGCCAAGCCCACCCCTGCCAAGCCCACCCCAAGGACAAACTAGAGCATAATCTTGGCGAAATTAAGAAGGCCATAGACTTGAGAAAATACAGGCCACGGTTAACTTTCCATTTCTTTCTGAAAGTGGGCGACTGATTATTTTCGGGGCAGCTTGTCCTCTCTTGCTATCCCTTATTTCGCTCATGAGAAAATAAAGTGTAAAATGAACCTATCCGAGGCATGAAGCCATCCCTGCCTGACTTAATGAGCAACTAACTAATCCGAAAGGAAAATAGCCATTACTTATACAGCTATAATGCAGATGCAACATGGCATATAAATCAGTAACTCTTGTATTGCAAAACAGACAAATAGATTAATGCATGTTGCAAAGGATGGGTGAAGAGATCGATTAGGTTACTGATTCAGACCATGAACTTTCTCTCAATATACTGCATTTAACTTTTAAATAAGGTTTAGAAGAACCTGAAACATTTTGCTCACTGACAGAGCTATATTTTACTAAGGGCAGAAATTGGCTAGTCTATAAAAATTAAATTATGCCCCTTTCACTGTATCTAGTCAAGAGGAAAAACTCTAATTACAAGATTGCACTGTCAAACAAATGCAAATTCACATTCTTTATTCCTTGGTTTAAAAATTCATACTGGAGGGGGGCTTCTATTCTGAAATGAAAATCAATATTTAAAATATTTTGCAGAGTGCAATGATAAGCAAGAGCAAAAATAAATGTCATTATCAAGGGTGCTGGTAAATAGACACTAACTCATTAAGTGCTGAGCTGGTGAGAGCAAGTCATTTGTTATGCAAACATTTAAATATCAATTAGTAAGGACAAAGAAAGAAGCTGAACCAAACCTTCCCTTTTCCACAGCCTGGGCCTTATTATTCTGGAAATGACCCAAGGAAAAAAGAACAGTGGAAAATAATCTCAGCACCTAACAGGAATGCCACTGGGGGAACGGATAAAGGTTAATTTCAAATGTACTTCCCAAGTGAAAGTTAAATGTCCCTGCCTCAAAATTCACAGGAGCTGAGTTTGCAGACTTAATCCAGGCAGGACTAACTGAATGGCTGGGCATACTGCATCGCTGGTCTGTTTCGGAAAGAGAATTCCTTTCATTACTGCTTAATGTCAGACCGGCTTACTTCATTAAAATTTCTTAGTCCATTTAAACTCCTGTTTTTCCATACCTATGAAAAGTGCCAGTCCACACAGCACTCGAACTTTAAAAATCCTTCTCAGATCACGGCCTGTCCACTCAGCCTGTCAGTGAACGTAGTGGCTATGCAAAATTGTCTAAATACTAAGAACTTTCCCCAGATTATCTTTTCAGGTAAACCTGGCAGTATCTTTACCTGGCAATGTATGTTTTACTGTGCTGGCCGGGTGGTAGTACAGCAAAGGTGCCGACCTAGGAAGCAGGCTTCAAGTGCCTCTTGGTAACAGCTGGCTGGTGAACTTGGACCAGGCGTCTAACTTTTCGGAACCTTATTTTCTTCCTCTATAATACAAAAAAGTTTGTCTTCATAAGCTATTCTCACCTTGGGGCACCCCAGCATCACTTGGGGGAGCTTACAAAGGAAGATATACCACAGACATATGAAGTGGTCTTCTTCGGGGGCGAGCGGGGGGAGGCATGTGGAGTTGAACAAAACTCGCAGCAAGATTCTGATATGCATCCTTAAGTAGGAGTCACTGGGCCCTTTAGGCTCTAATGTGTTCAGATTCTCAGTACAACATATGTTATGGACCAAACTGAAAAGAAAATTCTGACTTCAATTCCTAATAGCTGCATTTAACAGGCACTACTTTCTTTCTCCAGAGTGGAGGAGTTGACCATGCAATAGAATTATATGCTGATCAGCTGTCGGAGGGGGGAACAAGGGCCTCAAAAGAGGACTACCAGATTTCATGAGATGTTACATAAAAAGTGCCAAGGAAAGAGCCAGGTGCCTAGGGCACACGGCAAATGTTAGCTCTTATTTCTGTGATGATTACACTGCATGATGGTCATTTAACAACCAGAATTTTAGGTTTGGTCTCCACCCTTGTTGGTAAAAATTAAACTGGTCTCTAACAATTACATATATGTAAAAATGGAAGTGCCTTGGAAGTATCAGCTCCCTGGATGTTGCTCTTTTGACGCAGAAGCAAATGCATTTGGCTGGTTTCTAGTGAATTTAGGTGCAGAGCGCTTGCTTCACGTGCCCAGAACAGACCTAGCGTCTTTCCCCTCTTAACACTTTCCTTGGGGTTTATCAACTGCTTTTGTTTCTCCAGCTTAACAACTGAGACTGCCTTATCATTTCAGTCTCTATCCACCTTTTGGCCTATGACCTGCGGCCAGAGGGATCTGGTTTGGAGACAAGGTGCCCACTACGACGGAGCTAATAGAAAACAAGCAACCTCAAGCCAGGTACTCGAAGACCTTCATGCTGAAGTTTCCTGTGAATAAAAGGGGAGTCATAATGCCTGCAATGCTTTTTTACAGTGTGGCTTGGAGGAGAGAATGAAAAAAGATGAAAAACAGCACTCTGAAAATGGAGTGTGTGGTATTCATCTTAGATACACTTTGAGAGAGGAAGAAATGTCTCTCAGTAAAAGGACTTCTTCTGACTCGAATTTAGTTTACATCCTTTTCTCAACCATATCCCGGGTTATAAAACATGACATCCAGGTAAGCAGTGGCCTCGAGGATTCTGAAGAAGTTCTTAATGTGTCCACAGTACATCCCCATTTCGTCTGGCTCTAAACTACTGTCTGGAAGAAAGCTGCAGATATTTGAAAGTAACAATAAAGTGTTCACAGTGATGCTGACTAAAATCACAGTATTTCTTCTGGTAGAAGGGCAGTAATTTTTTTGCTCAGGTAAAATGCAGGAACAAAAGGAGACATGAAACCACTTGTCCAAATTATCCACCTCAATCTTAGCGAAAGAATCATTACTAAGTTTTGTTTTGCTGTTTCAATAGCCCAAATCCTATATACCAGAACAAGGCTTGCTGCATTTCTTGGGACAAGTTACTTTTGAGAGCAATTAAGTCTCAGGCTTCCCAGAAGAGCAATTTTGGTGGAAAGAATCTACACCCAGGCCAATAATGCCCCATAATGAACAGCCCATACAACTGCACACACACTACATCATAGCACAGTGGTGAGCTGCCATCTGCTCGCCAAATAACCATCTGTTTAGGAACAAGGCATTTCCACACCCTTCTCTGAGAAGAAACTACATTCCTGAGGTGCTGGCTTTAACACTAGAGCCCTTGCATTGATCTGCCAGTGGGTTAAGGGAATCACGTAACAGTCCTAATCACTTCACAGGGCTCGGTGGGCAGTTCCCCAAACTACCAAGGAGCGGGGCTTTGGTTATTCAGTGTCAGCCATGACATGATGCTATTCCCTATCTTCTAATATCCTTAAAATGGCACAGCCTCTGTTTACGGGTTTGACCTTGGAAGTGAAACAACAGCTTCACTTATCCTCCCAAAGTTCTATGTTAGACTTTGGGGTACTTCGATTTCTGATAAGACTACTTAGGCTGGGATTTCCACCTCAGTGAGAAGACTCTGGCCAACCCCAGGGGGCTGTCCCACAAGACCTTGTTTTCCCTCCCAGGGTGCTCAAGCCCTCTCCTCAGCTAGCCAGCAGCTAAGCTGGTAGGACTGAGAATGACATTCCTTTGAAAGACCTTGGCAATTTGTGCCTGGAATTTGATGCATTAGTTCTAAAATTAAATAAAGATCCTGTAGTGTTCTTCAAGGAAATATGGCGTGGCTCTATGACAAAACACATTTTTCAAGCTCTGACCTCTGGGAACTTCAACTAGCTCCATATTTCAGGCTGACACTGCTCACAGGCTACTGTCTAGTTACCCAAGCCAGGGCCAGTTAGCTATATATTTTCCACCCCCGCCCCCATCAGCTTTGAGCACACAGAGGTGAGGGGAGTAAATAAAAAGAGCAGAGCCACTAATTTAAATGCACTTCCCCTCCCAAGTCCCTTGGGGAGAAGCCCTGGTAATTAACTCTAATGAGATTAAAGTTATTTGGAACTCTTCATTTTCCCAGCACTGTAAAAGTAAATCTGCGATAACCAGTGTGTGTGCATTAACACGCTGATTGCCACAGTAGAATTTCCCCCCCCCGCCCCCCCCCGGGGACCATGGTGTTTTAGTACAAAAATAAAATAAAAACTTAGGAAACAAAACGATCCTTTCCAATTTAATGAAAAATGTGTTGCTTTTTATTGTTTTCTGTGCGTGAATTATATGCAACCTGAAAAATAGTTCCTAATAAAATAAAAACTTAGGAAACAAAATGATCCTTTCCAATTTAATGAAAAATGTGTTGCTTTTTATTGTTTTCTGTGCGTGAATTATATGCAACCTGAAAAATAGTTCCTAAGGGTAAAGGTAAAGAAACGTGAGTTGCATATGCTTCACGAGGCCCCGGGCTCAAAACTAGCGTGAGTTAAATGCAACTCGCATAGCAGTTAATGTGTTAAATCAAAGTCAGCCCCGTTTCCTGTTATTTAACGGCCCCCTCATGCACATTCCACCCCCACCCCTGGCTGAAGGGAGAAGGAGAGAGCTGCCGGGCTCTTACCTGCACTTTGCTCCATCACTTCTTTCTGACACATGTCTTGAACGTTCACCGTGCAATTCACGATGAACTCGGGGGAGGAGCAGTCGTTGTTCAGCTGGAATTCTTCACACTGGTAGCACTGGATTTGCAGCGCAAAGCCTAGGGGACAGACGCAGTCGGGTTCAGATCCCGCCTCAAAGAGCCCACGCAGGAAACCACGACCATCCCACGCCCCAGAGAGCCGCCGCTCCGGGATGCCTGGGGCTCTGCACTCCGGGGTCTCTAACGTCGGGCTGGATGTGGCAGAAGCCGGCAGGGGGCGGCGCGGGAACCGAGAGTCCTGCAGGATGCTGTGGAATACTGCCCGCGACCCCTGGACCCCAGCTCTGGACACAAAGAACCCATCTGACACCACCCAGGCCTTTCCCCAAGAAGTTGAAAGGAGGGTGGCACAACCCCAAGAGCGAAGTAGCTCCAAAGACATGTGTCAGCTCCAGTCTACGCCAAAGGATTTGCCTAATTGCTAATTGGTTACAAATTACTTAATTACTGTTTTTGGCACCGTTCATGATTGCATTCGCAGACGCCTTTTCAGGTTTATTTATTTAATTTTCGAAGTCAGCATTCCTGTGCTGGAACTCCGAGGCTCCCCGCGCGACCACCCGCTGGACGCCAAGTGCTGCTGCGCCCCATGTCCCTGGGTTGGCGGCCCTTCTTTGGGACCGTCCCCGCGGCAGCAGGGGTGGCCAGAGCGGGTGGGAGAGGGCGTGTGCGCGCTCGCGCGCAGGCATCCCAGACCGTGACATCGCAGCCCTTTCTCCCAGGGGCTGTCGGGGCCACCGTTTGGCTAGGGTCCGTGGTTGGGGTCCCAGCTCTGCAGAGCTCGGTTGGGAGCCACAGCGAACTGGACGGAGGGAGCGAAACATTCGCGCCTCTCTCCGCTTCAGCCTGGCCGCTCTTCTCTGGTCTACGAGCTTCGGTCTAGACCCAACTGCCCGCGTTCCTGGCCCGGGCGAGCCCCTCCCAGCCCCACATCGATCGCACTCTGAGCGCAGCAACCGAGCTTGGGCGCTGCCGCGGGCTGCCCAGCGCGCCGCTCACCTGTCGGCGGCGCCACTCCCACGGGTTGCCAGAGACGTCTGACAACTTGGCGGGGTTCGGGGTGTGTCGCCCCCTCTCCTTCGCCGAGGCCCCAGCGCGCTCGGACTCTCCCTCCTCCCAAGCACAGCTTGTCTCGACCGTGCAGCCCGAGCAGCTGCAGCCGAGAGTCCCGCAAATCCGCCGCTCCCTGCTCTCGTCCTGCAGCGCGGGACTTGGAGACTTTCCCAGTCCAGCGTCTCCGGGGACCAGTCGCCGCCTCCAAACTCCCGCTGGGCAGCCCCTGCGCAGCGCCCGCCCCGAGGTGGGCGCCCTGAGGGTAGATGGGGTGTGCGCGCCTGCCCCCGCTGCGGGTCTCTTCGTCTCTTACCTGGGATCAAGAACAATCCGCAAAAAGTTGCCGCGATGCCGAGGAGCCACATCCTCCCGGAGCCGCGGGGACGGGAGCAGGCAGGCGCATCAGAGGCGGCGACCGCAGCGGAGGCTGCCCGGGCCGCAGCGGCTGTGGCTGCCGAGGCTGCTGGGGCCCGCGCCGCTGCCGCCGAGGCGACGGCCGCCGCCGAGAGGAGCCGCAGGTGCCGCCCGCGGCGCCTGCATCGCCCGCGCCCGGGCTCCCGGCTGCGGGTCGCCGCTCCTCTCGCTCGCGCTCCCGGGCCGAGCGCGGCGCCTCTGGAGTTGGCGACTGAGACCGAAGGAACTACTGGCGAACCGGAGCACCCAAAAAAGTCTCGCCTCTTCTCCCCACCTCCCACTCCAGGCACCACGTGACGGCTGCCGAGTAGGGGTGGGGGTGGCGAGCGGGGAAGGCTGGGACCGTCTACGTCCCCACCCCCTTCCTGCCGCCCTGCTCTCCCGCCTCCGCGCCTTCCAGGGAAAGGGGTGCGGGGGGTGGAGGAGGGAGGATGGAGGTTGGGGGAGTGGTCAGGAGGTAGCAGCAGGTGCCACCGGGACCGCCGGGTGCGGACTGGGGGACCCGCGTAGCGGGTTCGGAAGACGACGTGCCCGGCTGGCCCTTCGCGCGCGGAGGCGCCTTCCCCCCACGCCCTTTGCGTCCCCCAGGGCTGGCGGCACCCCAGCGACGGGGGCCGGCCCACCTAGCCAGGAGGTACCGCTGCGGGCCGCTGGAGCCCGGCGCCCCGGGAAACTGGGAGGAGGGGGCGCGTTTCCGTGCGCCTGGCAAAGTTGCACACCCGCAGGCTCCCTAGGGTGTCGGGTGCGGCCGTGCCTCTTCTTCCTTCGAGAGGCCCCTCGGTCAGTACCTCGCTCGGCTGCGGCGGGATGGGTGGGGGTGCGGTGGGGACCCTGCCCTGACTCGTGCGCTTGCCTGGGCAGCCCTCCCTTCGGCCGCCGGCGCGCACCGCTGGAGGGTGCGGTGACACCGCCTAGCCTTGGAGAAGGCCGGCCCGGGGACAACCGCCGTGAGATCCACCAGAAAGCAAATCAGGGTGAAGAAGAGGCTTGCTTTCCCCAAAGCCACAGGTTATTAGCAGTATACTCCTGCGTCCTCTCCCGTTAGGCGTCATCCCAGCCCCGGACTCGGCTGCTGGCTACTCCCCCATCCCTCAAATTCCTCCTCTTTCTGCGAAGTCCAAGTGACCCACCTTGCATACTCCCGGGGACTCCCTGGTGCTATTTTCGCCTTACTCACCAAGCTTGCAGCAGGTGGTGCCGGAGCCCGCGTGCCCGCCTGAGCACGTTGGTGCCCCGGCACCCAATCCTCACATTCCGACCCCCTTTCCCCAAATCCCCGGAATTCCAAATTCAGTGAAAATAGCCTCTCGAGCTTTGGCCCTCTTCACCCTTTTCTCCTCCGGCCACCTCTCGGGGGAAGCTCGCAGACCGGGAAGCGGGTCATTTATTTCCCCACGCTGCCAGCAGAGCAGGTCTGGAATGGGGCTGTAAATGACTTTCTTTGTAATTCCTCTGCAGAGATCATTCCCCATCTGCCTCAGGCTCTGTCTCTCCCTTTACTCCCCTCTTCCTTTCATTTCTAGCTGGTTAACCCCCTCAGGGAGACCGAAAGGCTTACTCGCTGGTCTGCAGACTCTGATCTCACAATTGGCTAAATTACTATCTCTGGAGCAAAAGGGCCAGTTTATTCCATTGGGGAATCCATCGTTAGAGCACGTGTGAGTCACGATTCAAGTAACTGACTGGGCCAAAAGGCCCTTCAACAAGTTCTTTTCAGTTTCCAGAGGGTGCAATTGTGATATAACTTTTATTCAGAAATGAAACAAAAGGATTTTTTAAAGTCTGAAAGACAAGGGCATTTTACATAATTTTCATTTAAGATAAAATTCAAATGTAACAAATTGCACAAATTAACCCAGTAACACTGATCATACAATACTCTTTAAAGAAACAAGTATGTACTAAAGTAACCATGTAGATCCTAAAAATATTTCTATTATGCCTAGTTTACAACTCCTGTACAAAAGCAATTATAAATAGTTCACATCTAGAAAAAATACACATAACCTTTAAAATAGAATTTATCCTTACATATAAACAGTCTTTGTAGGAAAAAAAGGATATTAAAAAGAATTTTCCGTAGCACCAAGCAATTATTTTATTTTTAAAAAAGTGAACACTGCAAATAGAAATTTGCTTTCATTTTTGGAGTACCCAGATTTTAATGAAAAGAGCAGGAAGATAACAAAATCAAATAATACTCAGGAACATAGTGATGCGCTAAGAGGATATAAAGAGATGTCTAGAGGGAAAAACCTGCTGTTGGAAATAGAATTGGGTAATTTCTGATAGTGTCACACTCCCAATCAGTGTCCACACTTCAGGACCCTTTTCATTTTTCAGTAGAAGCTGAGTTACACTTATGACTACAACCTGAATCTCTCTGGCAACAATTTTGAAATTGCAGTGAAATTAACATTTCTATCACATTGAGATTGTGAGACAGAGATGACAGATGAACCCTCTGGTATTTCAGCAGGCCCTGCTTTAGGTTTATGGAGTGTACCCACAAACAATCTGAGGACTAGGACAATGAACTTAACAAAAACTTTAGTTGGAATTAAAAAAATATATATTATCATTAACTTCTAAGACTTAGTACATCATTTCAAGAGCATGGCACTGGTTCAATTTATTGCTGTCCTTTTTGTATTTTTTTTGCTACAAATATAATTTCTCTTCCAAAAAATTTACAACTTCTGTACAAGTATTCAAAAAAAAGTGCAAAATTAAGAATTCTGTATCGTAGGTGTGTTTACTTTCAATCCTCTTTTAACACAATAAATGGAGTCTATCTTATTGCCCTGTCAGAGAAGTAAGCTCTGGTGGGTTGCCTGCTGTGAATTTGACAATGTAGGCTCTGGTGTTAGAATAGTTTATTGTTGTCATCTCTACCCCAGCCATCCCTCCCCAAACTCCCCTCCCCCACCCAGTTTCTTAAGCTCTCCATTCCCAGCTCGCTAAGGGAAGAAAAGTCCTTTATACATCATTTGAACCTTGACTGGCACAGGAAGAGAAACTATCATATAAAGAATCACTCAAAGATTCCAAATTGTCTACTCCAGGCCTATCGGAGATTCTCAAAGATGCCTCTTCATTTTTTTCTTTTTCTTCCTTTTGTCCTTCAACCTTGTTCAGAGAGTTCTTCTCTTTTTCTAATAAAATCACAGTATTGCTGTTAAATTTATTGAACGACTCCAGGGAAATTTTAGATAATCTATTCTCAGGATCTTCTTTTGTTTCTTCAAGTTGTTTCAATTTCTGCAACAAAAAGAGGGAAATATTAGAAACATATTTCTTTGGAAAATCAAGTTATTCTATCCAATATTCAATTATTGTCTACATAAAGTACAGTTTAAAGGGATAGAGAAAACCTACAAGTCCTTAACAATCTTCTAGTATAATTAAATGTAATAATAAAGCCAATTTTAGGGATAAATCAGGACTTTAATCATTTTACTCAGATAAATAGGTCCCAATTTGCAAGCCAGTTAAGTGCCACTTAATTTCATTTTAAATGGATCCATTTGAAATTTGTTCAGGTAAAGTGCCTTATTTTTCTTAATCAAAGTTTCAAACTCCTCTCTTTCCTTATGAAGTATTAGTTGTACTTTTTCTAAGTACGGATAGGGATCGAATTTCAGCCAGAAGTTACGGTAATCTGTAAAGAAAACATAAAAATCCTTTAAATTGCCATAAAATTTAAGTACATGTTAAACTTGCTAGAAGCATTGTCATTTTTGTATTTTGTCCCTTTACAAGACTTAAGATACTTGAAAGAGATCTCTAGATCTTTTGGTGTAGATTCCAGAAGGCCCAAGGGCTTGCAAATCACAGCAGCAGGTCTGCCGTTCAGTAACCTCTCTGTTCCGGGAGGTTCTAGTATTACTGATTTATACGGGGGGGATATTTATAAGATGTTATTAGGACTTTATAAAACAGTGCAGCTGTATTCAATAATTATTATAGGAAAACCCTGTAAACATGAATATGTTCAGTTGCCCAAGTGGCTCCTGAGGTCTGGGGTGAGGACAGAGGGGGGCGGTGAGGCACAGATGCCAAAAACGAGGAGAATGGAGGTGGAGCCTCTAAGACATTTCTCATCCTCCTTTCCTCTTTCTGGCAAAAATTCCATCTAAACACAAGAAAGAAGCAGGCCTGGGGGCTTAGAGATGAAAATAAGAGCTAACATTTATTAAGCATCCACTAGGTAAAAGACAGGTAACAGATTTTCCCTGTCAGCCTTGTTGAAAAGCCTACAGGTTAAATATCCCCATTTTAAAGACAAGGAAAACAAGACCCAGAGCGACAGAGATATTTGCCCGGGATTGCCCAGCAGTGATGGAGAACAGGATTCGAATTTCTGTCTGTCTGCCTTCCACAGTCTTGCTCTTTCCAGTAAACCACGCCCTTATGTAATAAAGGACAAGATGTCCTGTTTGTTTTTCATTCTGTTACCCAAACGGTCCACTTAAATAACTTGCCAAACCATCTCTAACATATGCACTTCCATTGGCCACCCCGGCCCCCAACCCCGATATCATCATATTGGACTTACAACGGTGCGACGAGGAAATCGTGTTTTGATGGGGGGAAATAGGTATAACCAAAGCCTATGGATTTCACACGCTAAATATTTAACAGAAAGAGAAAAGAGAGAGAGGGAAGTGGATGGCTTCAGTGTCCCAAAAGCAGGCACAGGCAGAGTTTCTCTGCTATGAGAAATGGTGTAATTCTAACAGAATATTTGAAAATCATCCTTGAACTAGTGCTTATTTCATTATATTATTAATGAGCAGGAGCATTACTCACAGAGCTAATTTTCAATCTCAAATGGCCACCTTGAAACCAGAGGTGGGCCAAAGAACAGATTGCTAGCTGATTACAGAAAAGTTGCTCTATAATTAGGAATGAATAACTCCATGCAAGAGCCCCTTTTTATGCTGTGTCAATTTTAAGCATCTTTGCAAAGAATTATATTGCATGCTATTAGAAATACATGGAAAGAGTAGTAAATGTTTGCCTACAAACCAAATGTAGGTAAAGAAAGGATATTCGATACAATTTTCTCCTTGCCTGGATGTCTTTTCCTTTTTTCTTCATTTAAGAACCATAAGTATTTTTCTTGCCTATTTCTGGTCTACGTGGATCTCAGATTGACTCAACACTCACTAGAGCAGCACCCACGAGGTAGGTGGAAGGTTTTGGTGCTGAGGACACACAGCTGAATGAACTTGTGTCCTACAGGGGACAGCAGAGGCCCTGGAGGGACACAGGCCTGATCTTTGATCTCAGCTTGGCCCTTTGCCTGGCTGTGGGAGTGCCAGCAAGCATCCTTCTTCAGGTGTGAAATGGTGACAAGACACAGCTTTATTTCGGGATTGTAGTATGTATTATTATAGAAATAAAGCACCTTAAGGCTCTGGCACATAGCAGTAGGTGCTCAATAAACTAAGCCTGGATTATTGCTCTAGAACAGTGGTTCTCAAAGTGTGTTCCCCAGACCAGCAGCGTCAACACCCACCAAGGAGCTTGTTGGAAATGCGGGTTCTTGGGTCCCACTCAGACCTACTACATCAGAGACTCTGAAGTCAGCTATCTATTTTGAACAACCTCATCGGGTGATTCTGATACAAGCTACAATTTGAGAACTACTGGTCTAGAAGAATTTGTAGTCTTGGAGGGAAGACAGGAAGAAGAAAAGTATAATTCGGTGTGTGAGGTGGAGCTGAGGAAAGAGTTAATTAAACACCATTAGAACACCCACCATGTATGGGTCAGTGTCTCATATTTTCTAGATGTTGCAGGCTCCTGGGTTTGTTTCTTCAGTTAATTGTAACAAAGGCCTGTGCCGGCCAGGGAGGTTATGGAAATGAAAGAAGCACCCATTATAAGAAAAACATGACCTTCTCAGGCTTCCTTTCATTTTTACAGTTTTGATGAAAGGTGAGCACAGAAATATTTCTTGACTATGAGAACAACATCAGTGCAAAAACCGACTAAAAGGGCCAATTGACATTTAGCCTCTGGGCTGGGAAGCCACAGGGAGTGGTGGGGACTGCAGTGAGCTCAGGAGCATGTGCTGTGCCTACATCAATATTTGCTTATATTTAACGATTTCCTGATTTGTAATTAGTGGCCCATATTAAAACAAAGCAACAATAACAACAAAAACAACAAAAAAAACCCAGTATGCATGTCACATTGCAATCTTTGTACTGTTTGAGTTTCTGAGCTAGGGATCACGTTTTATACTTTATTACATCCTACCTCATTGTCCCCCACCCCTCCCTCTGGCTTTCTCCCTGAAAGCCTAGCCCAGAGCTAAATCAACAGTAGTTTCTCAATGGACTCTTTTCTAGCATCAGAAAAGTGTCACCTGTTGGCCGGGCTTTTCCAGTGGTCCTGCCAGCTATGAATAAAAGCTAAAGTGGCTTACTTCTCTGCCTACCGGGGCATACCCGACCAGTCTCAACATTGTCTCATCAGATCTCAGATAATTTTAAAATTTTGAAGTCATATAATATTCGGATTTAAAATATAAAAAAGGGATTGAGGTCAAACAGTAATGTGCTGATATATGTGGAAAATGGTAACAAAATAGTGCAATTAGTTTGCAGCAACTGTATATGAAGGTGCTTGGCAAACTAACCATGGTAATAACAGTTACCATTTAATTGAGTGCCTGTTCTGTGCAGACACTCTGCTAAGTGTATTGCATGGATTATCTGTTTCATCCTCCCATCCATTCTAGGGGGTAGATGCCACTAGTATCTGCATTTACAGGCAATCAAGGCTTGAGGAAGTTAAGTAAGTTGTTTAAGGTCCTGCAGCAGTATGTGCTGGAGTCTGGCTTTGAACCCAGGCAGTCTGTCTCCAGAGCTCAAGCTCTGAACCTCTCTATTTTACAAAAGTACTTTACAAATATTAGCTAATAATATCTTTAAGGGGGACATCTGAAATAAGATTTACACAACAATAACAATAATAAAGATAAACCCAGTGAAGATTAGTGTTTGATAAGAATTGTGTAAGTTCCATAAAACATAGCCATTTCCTTCCTATGTTGTGCTTCATCACAATTACAAAATTAATATACACATTTGTCACCTATAGGTGGCAACAGTTGTACAGATGACTTTTTGGTGGGGTTCTTTTTATTGCACTTGGGAATGAAAGTAGGTCTAAACAGGCATCATGAGAATATATTTTCAAGTTTAAAATAAATAGCTTTGCATATTCTTAAAGTATTTTTCTGTCTTCAGTGTAACCATGGAATTATTAGTGATAATTCAAGCAGGAAGTAGACAGTGACATACTCTCCAGAAATCTCTTGAGAATTATACTTTAACTAATTTAATTCCTTGTAGTCAAGCAGTCAATTAGTCAATCAAACTAATCTGTTATGTGACCAGCTTTTTGCAAGTAATCTTGTGGTATTGATTTTCAAAGGAAGTTTCATAGAAGAGGGTGTTCTTGGATTGATTTTGAAGGACAGACAGGATTAAGATTTACAGTAAGGAAGAGGGAGGGCATTCTACTAAGTTTCCATCCACTATGCCCTTACTGCGTCTGTATACCACTCTGTAGTCTACTTCAGGACCAGGGGTCGCCCAGAGAGTCTCTCTCTTGCCCTTTTAGATTCTGTCATGGAAAGAATCACTGTAAAGACAGAATCAGAGATGTGCCTACCCCAAAAGGTTTTAAGAAACCCAGCCAGACTTAGCAAAGTATCAGTCAGTCTCTGATAAATATAAATAGCTTTGATTTCCAAACAGCTTTCCTATCTATCATCTCACTCTATTCTTCCATCAGCCTGGAAGGTGAGGGAGGCCAGAGTCAGCTGAACTTTATGTGGGATATTTATGGAATCTGCGATTTACACAAATTCAAATTCAAGTAAAATTAGCCCTGGGAACTTAGTTTCCTGATTTTTAACACAGAAACACATACAGTTTTTTTTTTTTTTTTTCTGCAGTCACCAGTAATCATGGAGCACATATTTTTACCTAGAGCAATATTCTGAACACTAGGAAGGAAAAAAATTGGAGGAGATATGGGCCCTAGCCATAAAGAAGAGGTGGAGAAAATACAGGGTGATACAGAAAAACTGAAGCAATAAACCACCAAAAAAAATATATGCATGATGGTATCAGCTTCACAGAGATACTTCTTACATGTATACAACCAGAAACTCCTGTCCACAGTAGGGGAGAAACAAATAGCAAATCCATGAAATAGTGCAGTCAATTATTGTTCTA